CTTTATTTTGACCCAGACTATGATACTATCGACTACATGAAAGTTAGAGTCACACTAACAAGACTTTCGATGGGCTATTTCGATACAAAAATCCTAATGGACATTGGGAGTAAGATTGGAAGTGTAGTGAAGATCGACTATAACACTTTGAACTGTACCAGAGGAAACTACGCATGTATCTCTGTTGAGCTTGACCTCAAGAAGCGTTTCATATCCAATTACCGTCTCAAGCGCAGGGTTCAAAGAATTGCATACGAAGGCCTCCATGTCATTTGCTTCGAGTGTAGTTGCTATGGTCATCTGCAAGAAACATGTACCAGGAATGTAGCCAACGATAAAATGTAGGAAAAATTCCATGACCCAATCCAACCCAATATTCAATACAGACGGCAGTAAGCCCATCCAGCCTGAAGTTACTGAAGATTCCGGACGATGGATGTTGGCCAAGAAATCCCACCAACGACCAACTCGGACCAATAAAAGAGGACCATCCAAAAAAGGAAACTAGTCATCGTGGAGGAGCTAATCCCACTGCGACTGGAAACACGGCGACACGATCATGATGTTCGGCTCTTGAGACGAGATCCTCGGATTCGAGAGAAATGGAGGAGAATGGAACGAAAAGTATCTTCGGAGGAACAATGGGAAAGGAAAGAATTCCAGAAGAGGAAGGACCAATTGATGAGAGGATCAAAGCAAAAAGGGAACTGATGAGAGTAGAAAGGGAAGTAATATAGAGTATCAGCATGAAGAAAGGAGAAGTAAATCGGGAAAAGAAGGAGCAAAAGACTCGGAGACCGTTGCAAAACCAATCAGTTCGGCTAAGCAAATGGAGAAAACTGATGGATCGAAACGCGCTTAGACCCACCAACGCGAGACAAACCATGTAGGGCCACGAAATAGGATCAAGGAAAGTCTCCAACAGTAACTCTCCATCGACTACTAAGCCTAGTCTGGTCTTCCAACCTGAAACTCAAACTAGGAAGCTAACTTCCACACCCCACCAAACAAGATCCAAAAAGCCCAACTAAGTTCGGTGAAAGGCTGTTCCGTGGACCACAATCATCAAATCGGCTCAACCCCGATGAAAACCTCCTCCGGTAGTAACCTTCTGTCGAACCAGCCAATCGTAGCAGTCACCAGCAAGAGAAATCCAAACGTCCTGCTAGATCAAGGAAAGGTATCTTTCATTCTATTTTCTGTTAGTATTTTATTTTTATTTTCTTTCATTATTTTTTCTGTTCAATCATTTTGGTCGAACCCATCTTCAACTTGTGAGTTGTGACACAAAGCTAGTCTCGAGTTTACCTCTGCCATGGTGATTTAGTCAGACCAAAGAATTCTCAAGAATGTCCACATACTCCATCGACTTCTAAGGTGATGGAACTCTTTCAATTGTTTTTGTTAAATCCTATTATGATATTATCAATATTTATATATCAAAATTACTTGTCCTTAGTGATGCTACAAGATGGTATCTTACTAATGTATTGATTGTCACATGTTGTGTGGATTCTCAACTGATCATCATGGATCCATCTAGGAAGTCTTCCCTTCCCGGAGCCGGAGCCATTTACAGGGAATTTTTGTTTTCTCTCTTCCTGTCCCCGTGTCAGTTTCGTGTCTTTTCGCTCATTGGAGCTTTCTTAGAGCTGTCCACTAGTGGCATAACAAGCTCTTTTATCGGGAGTATGGTTGCATATGGGCTACCGTTCTTTATTATATGTATTTTGTATCTTGTCGTCCGACCATGCTCTGGGGGCTTATCTTGGATAAAAAAAGGAAATGGTCATCTGATTGAGACGTAAGGGGAAGATGGAGCAAAAGAAAGTTGGCTCGATTGCCCTGATTCTGGAGTAACTGATTTGCAAAAGGAAGGGAATGGTGTTGTGGATGCTAGACTCCCTAATTAAACTGCGACGTATGTCGCTGCCTGCCAGGGAGTTCTTTCTTTCCTATACTTATGTATTTTGGAATTGCCAAAGGGGCTAAACCAAGGTTGTCAAACCGGGTTAAGTCATTCGGCCGGTTTGACAAGGGGTTTGGGGTTTAATGGTTGGATCGGGGTTCAACCGGGTTAAGCCGGTTTTTACAAAATTTTGATAAAATTTATATATAAATAACATACATCATTACAAACCAAAAGGAGAAAAAAACAAAAGTCGCCATGAATATTCCACCTAAAACTCCGAACCACCCATGCCCAAATAAAGGAAGAAAAAAAACGCACTGAATTCAAACGATCACAGTCGGTCACTTAACAACATCATCGTTTCTTCAGACCCATGAAACAATTAGATGGGGAAATAACACCACCACCTACTGGGATCCAAGCAGCAAGAAGAATTGGATTATGTTCTGCAAACCGCCAAGATCACGCACGTTGATTGGCCACCAGCCTTCCGAATCTCGAAAATTTGAATCGTAGAACTACCGCAGTGGCGGGTTTTATAGTCAATTTCTTGATTAATTTTGAAAAAATTAATTTTGCCCTGTTTTGGGCGTGAGAGACGGGAAGTAGAAGAGCTAGGGTTTCCTTTCGGTTTCAGGGAGAAGGGGGAAAAGGGAGAAGGGGGATCCTGAGACACCGCGAATTCTGTTGCGCTGATGGCGAGCGGCGTCGGCGAAGGGGGCACTGGGTCTAGGCGGCCGACGGCGAGCGGCGTAGAGGAAGCGGGGACCTGGAGCGCTGGACGGGGCGTGACGAGAAGCGGCCAGCACCGGCGAGAAGTGGCGACTGGAGCGCCGGCTTCGCGTGACGAGAGGAGCGTCGACGGCGAGCGGCTGGTCTCGACGAGGGAGGCGGACAGGAGGTTTGGGAACGGCGAGGGAGGACTAGATGGCTGATAGGGTTGTCTCGGCGAGGGAGGACTAAGGAGTGAGGAGCCAAATTGCCAAAACGACGCCATCTTCCTCCAAACCGGTAGCCGGATCAGTCCGGTCAGACCCCGGTTTCCCCAGGTTTTGACCGGTTTTGACCGGCTACCGGCCAGCTCTAAATATGGCTGGATCTGGCCCTTTTAGTGTCCGGTTCCGGCCAGACCCGGTTCGACCGGCCGGTTCGACCCCGGTTTGACAACCATGGGCTAAACACTCAAAGTTCGTTTCCTCGTTTAAACACTATACTCATCTACACTCTCCGAACATCACTATCATTGTTGAACCACACATCAGTAGTGATAACACATTGGAATTGATTGGGTCGTTGGGATTTGATCATTTTGATCTTTCTGATGTTGTTGGTTTTTCAAGTGGAATTTGGATCTTATGGAACGAGAGCCAATTAAAGATTGATGTTCTGGATCGACATGAACAGTATCGTCACGTGAGATGTACGAAGCCGGATAATGAATCCATACTTCTCACAGCGGTGTATGTCAAGCCTAGAAAGTACGACAGACTCCCCCTTTGGGATGCAGCCCACCACCTCGACCAAGACACCAAAGAGCCATGAATTCTGGTGGGATTAAGTTTTAAGGAGAAAATTTTCCAGTAACTTTAAGGGGCTCAGTTAAAGGAATACCGACTAAGAAGGAAATGTTATCGGTTATAGGAAGATCAGTTAGATTAAGGGTTCTATGTAAGAGGAATTGAGGAACCGCCAATTAAGAGATGAGTGGTTTAATGAGGTAAATTCTACGCGTTACAAGTTTTAAGTTGTATGTTTTACGTGAAGTTGCATGCCAGTGTTTAAAGTTATGAATGTTTTAGTATGTATGTCTGAGACTACGTTTGTGTTTGATAATTCATGCCCTTCGTTTGAGGCATTTGTCTATGAGTTTTCAATAACTACCTGTTAGCAGCTAAATTTCCGTTTTACTATTAGAGTGGTTACGATCTTTACGATCAAGTATTAGTAGCACTTTACCATTATATTATTAAGGTAAAAAGGTTAATAGGTCATTCAATAACGTGATTCTCCCGTCCTAGTTGAAGTTCAAAGGAAGGGCACAAAATGCTCTTAAGGTTATGAGAATGAATCAATAAAACCTACACAAAGGATTAGAATAAGGATAGGGCTTAGTAGGCCCTCATACGTATGCGTTGGGCAGCTGTACTAGTTAGTGAGTGCATCCCTGAGTCGGTCTAAGATTTAAGTTTTTCAGAGTAGCGAGTAATAACAACTCCCACATTTTTTAATGTTAAACTTAAAAGGGTGGAAGCGATAACAACCCCCACAGTTTTAAGATGAACACTTATAGGAAAACCCACAAATGTTTTGAGTCGTTTAGTAACGGCGTAGACAGATCCCAACCCACTCACCAGGTCATAGAGAAGGACCGAGTGAGCATCCGGTTGTAGAGCAACCAGCTAGCTGGAGAGTCACCAACTACAGAGCAGACAACTAGAGGAGGACTCCAATACAAAGAATTTCAATTTCATGTAATAATTATTAGGACAATGTTTAATTTCAATATCATCATACATTAATGACTCATGTTCATGTCCAACCATTGTTTCCCTGAGTTACTTAACTATACCAATGTTTAATTTTGCAAAAATTCAAATACACAAAAATTTAATGGGAGTGTTAAAATTACTATCGTGAGCGACACAAATTAACTCCACTTTAAACAACCTCTTTTCGGTCAACTGATGGAGCACCTCAAAGATATAGACGTGAATGTAATATGATGCTGCAGGGCTTGGCTAGTCACAAGAGCTTCAAATGGTTCAGCTTCGTGTCCAAATCCCCTCTGTTAATTATTTTATTACACTGCTTTGGAACGGCATCATCTCTGGATTCAGACGAAAGGAGAACAAAAGGAAAAATAGAAAACGAGTAGGTGGTCGAGGCCCTGTAAAAGCAAAACGTGTCCAAAGACAACAAATTCTGACGGTTCATGCAACCCCTGCATGACAAGCTGCTCACCACGTGCCCCAACCTTCCGACACGTGTCCTCTCCACCTCACCACCCCACCGTCTCTGTTAAGTCTCCTCTTTGTATAAATCCACACCCCTCTCCCTCCACAAAACAACCTCCCATCTCTTCTTTCCCCTTTCCGCTAGTTCAAAATACCAGTAACAAACACTTTGTTCGACACACTACGCAAATCCATTTAGGTGATAAGCAAATAATGGACCAGTCGCAGCACCAGCAGCACGGCGGCACAATGCAGCACCAGCAGCAGCAACCCCGGTCTTACCAAGTGGTCAAGGCTGCCACTGCGGCCACTGCCGGAGGATCCATGCTCGTCCTTTCGGGGCTTATCCTTGCAGCCACCGTGATTATGCTGACCATAGCCACTCCTCTCCTCGTCATCTTCAGCCCCGTCCTCGTCCCTGCTCTCATCACCGTCGGTCTCCTCATCACGGGCTTCTTGGCCTCCGGTGGGTTCGGCATTGCAGCCATCACTGTTCTGTCCTGGATCTACAGGTAAGTGCATGTTAGCTTGTAATTAAGATTCGTGTAGTAAATATGACATAACTTGGTTTTTAACTTTTTGGGGGGTATGGAAGGTATGTGACGGGGAGGCACCCACCGGGAGCGGATTCCCTCGACCAAGCTAGGATGAAGCTAGCTGGGAAGGCAAGAGAAATGAAGGATAGGGCGACGGAGTTCGGGCAGCAGCATGTTACCGGTCAGCAGACCTCTTAGAAAATAAGGGGACTCGCAGCTACGCATGTTAGCTAGCAACAGTAAGTAATGGCGAGTCGTGGCCCGGCCGCGGATGAAGGATGTTGATGATGGAATATGAAGTGTGCGGGCTATGTGGAAGTTTGTCAGATTTTGAGGGTTCATATTTGGTTGCTTAAGCGTCTTTGTTTCTTTTGTATCTCCCCCTGGGTTTATATTCTCGTGTTGCGTGTCTTTTTTCCGTATGTTTCTCGAGTTTAAAAATAATAATGAGCAATTTTTGGTGGCTGCCTTGTAATGTAATTGAATGTGATCGATCAACTTGGTAACGATCTCTAGGGTCTTGCATGTTACGGGGACTAAAAGCGTGCCTGTAGATTTGGTTCCCAGAATTGCTTTACCAACAGTGTTTAGGTTGTGGCGCCTCTTTCAGTAGTTGAGCCACCGCCCCTCCCTGGTTAAAGGCAGGAAAGCCCAAAGCCTATGGAGATCTCGACCTAATCTTTTGACTGAACGGAAGGAACAGAAGTGAAGGCTCAAAGTTGTTTGACATCCGTAATTAAGTTCTTTGATGCTCAAGCCCTTGCAAAACCAATCCTATTTTGTGCAGCCAGATCCATTTACATATTAGAAGTTACAGAAACCAATTTTGGGAAACCAATCTTCTTCCATACAACAAACAGGTTAGAGTAAGCAATCGAAGATCCTGCTTATATGACTGTAAAGCAATGGAATGAGCGATCTCAGATGTCATTCTTGCATCATGAAAGGAATATCACGAACATATTAGAAATACGATTGGAAGGTAATTTACAAAACCAATTTTCTTGTGTGAAGGAAGGTCCCGAACATTTGTCACGGATGCATAGAAGAGGTAGGTTAGGTCGAGGATTCATGAAGAGTTCCCGTAAAGAGTACTAATAAAAAGTAGGTGGGATATAACTAGCTTCGAATAAAATAAAATAAAAATCTGAAGATTTTTTACAATGTTCAAAGGAATTTTACAAAGTTTTAAAGTATTAATTTTTAATTTGTTTATTAATTTTTAATTTTTCACTTTTATGGTACTAGTTTTGTGTTTGTCCATCGGATGGTAAATTTCATTTGTTTGTACTTTCTTTTAGTGTATCATAATTTGGAGAAAATTGTCAATCTATTCCATTTAAGTGATCTATCATTTGAGTCAATCAGTTTATCATTTTTGAAAATAAATCGATCTGATGACACGATGACACACTTAACTTCAAGTGATCGATCTCTTCCACTAAATGATTGACCACTTTACAAGAAAATGGTCTACCATTTTCACTAGTTGAGTCAACTGGTTTACTACTTTTGAAAATGGGTCGACCTGATAACACATTTACCTTCAAGTGGTCTACCACTTGATACAACCGGTCTACAGCTTCTAGCAATAATGAATCGACATATGACGCACTTAAACTCAACTTACACCCGCTACCACTTGATACAATCAGTCTACAGCTTCTAGCAATAATGAATCGACATATGACACACTTAAACTCAACTTACACCCCCTTGTTGGAGGAGGTAGACCTTTTCTGTTAAAACATGATATCAATTATGTAAAGTGGTTTATGTACGTACCTATTTTGGCGAACGATCTCCGCTTTCGGCGAACTCTAATAAGATAAGATTGTTGCTTTATACTTATATTAGGAAAATAATGGACGATAGGAAACCAACAATACAAAATTGTTTTGTAATAACGCAACATCCTATCACCTATGGACAACCAAATCCCTATGCATATTATAGGCCAAGACAAAAAGAACCAACACCCTCTTTTAACACTTATGGAATAAAAATCCACAAAATCAAGATGATGTGAGATATATGGATGGTGAAGATGACACAATTATATAACAATTATTCTCTACTTTTTGAGCATTTTCCTAACAACAAAGTTGATCCATCAAGAAAATTATAAGATGAAAACAAACAAATTTAGAATTTGAAGAAAAGATGAAAGTCTCTATAGAGTAAGTCAAATATAAGAAATAAATATGAAAAATATTTTTCAAATCTACGGGAGAATAATCACTCAAGAAACTTGTCATCTATACTTGTAGCCTTTGTACTAATTTTAAATCTCTTACTAGCAAGCATATTTATTATTATTGGACTCTAATTATTTATGATTATATTATTAGCAATGGTTCATTAGGTTAACCGGTTATTGAAAGTGGTAGATCGCTTGGTGAAAGAGGTAGCTACTTAATGGAAATGGTAGACCGTTTTGTTGTAAAGTGCTCAACCTTTTATTGGAAGAGTAAACCGTTTGTTAAACATAGAAAAATGGAAAATAGTACATCTGGCCGACCATTCCAGCAAAGAGGTCGATCATTTTGTCCAAATAGCCGACCGTCCAAGTCATGGTGACTTGCAAGTCACCATAGCAAAGTCCTTTCTTTTATTATATGCTATTACTATTCAATAGGTTAATCTATTTATTCGTATGATCTATTATCCAAGTTTTCTTTAATCGGAGGATCACTAGTTAGTGCGTGTTTGCCATGCTGAACAATAAAATCAAATAATAAGAGTTGCGCCTTCATCACTTGAATGGTTAATTGCATGGTTAGTCACTGAGATTACAAAAAACGTTCAAGTTTGGTCACTCGAAATATTTAAATCCATTAGTGGTACTTCAGATTACTCAAACCGTTCACGTTTGGTCACTCTCCAGTCCAACTTCGTTAACTTTGACTGATGTGGCAGTCAACTCTCAAAGTTGACCGTTAACTTAGTGACGTGGCAACTAAAAAATTATTAAAAATAAAAAATAAATTTTCATAATTTCCACCTCATTATTAGAAAGAAGAAGGCAGAAATGGAGCTGGGCGGCTTCAGAGATCCGCGACGTCGTATCGCCGCCAGGGATCCTCCGGCCTTGTGTGGGACGACAAGCTCATCGCCGAATTCAGCCGCCAGGCCGACGCTGAAAGGGCAGCGGCCGCCGCAGCCGGCGGCGGAGATCCGTCGTCCTCCCCCGATGCTATCACCGACACCACGAACCTCCGGGTCAAAACGTCGGAGCCGGCCAAGATGCGTCGCAGCCACTCCGCCGGCGGCCGCGCCTACCGGTCCGTGAAGGCCGCCTAATCCCAACGTCGATCCGCCTTCCCCCAAGGTCTCCACCTGCTGTGCGATCTTCGCTGAGTCCCAAGCCTCCCGCCGGCGGCCGCCGCCCGCGCAGCAGGCAGCAGCCGCCGCCGCGGAGGCAGATGAGAAAAGCTAGTAAGCACTCTTGATCGATTTCACTTTCCCCTGAATTTTAGACGTCCGAATTTTGCCGCTGTAAGGGGGGAGGGGAATTCAAAATCCGATCTGTTGAACCTACAAAGAATCCATCGAAAACCAAATTCCACATGGAAAGGATTGAAGCGGCGGTGGAGGTTGGGTGAGCAGGGTATTAGGTTTTTTATTTTTTAATTAATGTAATAATGAGGTGAAAAATATAAAAATTTATTTTTTTATTTTTAATAATTTTTTAGTTGTCACGTCACTAACTTAACGGTCAATTTTGAGAGTTGACTGCCACATCAGCCAAAGTTAACGGAGTTGGACGGAGAGTGACCAAACGTGAACGGTTTGAGTAAATTGAAGTACCACTAATGGATTTAAATATTTCGAATGATCAAACTTGAACGTTTTTTATAATTTTAGTGACCAATCATGCAATTAACCCTCACTTGAATGATCATATTCACGGTTATCTAATCTTTAATTGATCAAAAGTTTCATGCAAAACAACCTTCAATTTATAAATGAGATGTGTCAATTAGGGCTGTCACTCGGTTTTCCGGTTAGCGGCTAACCGGTCGGTTTCAACCGAACCGACCGGTTTTCGGCTAGCCGAAAAACCGATTTTGAAGAGGTCGGTCGGTTGTCGGTAGAGGAAAGCAGGGGTCCGGTTAGCCGAGTAACCGAAGCCGGTTAACCGCGACTAACCGGCCGACCGACCCACAACCGAAAATATAAAAAAGAGAAGTTTAACCCTCCACTCCAGCTTCTCTCTTTCTTCGACTCTTCTTCTCTCTTTCTTCCCTAACTCCTTCGACTCTTCTTCTCTCTTTCTTCCTACAAATCCTTCCACTCCACAGCAGATCCGACCCTCACCTCTCCTCCTCAGTTAACTCCTTCGACTCTTCTTCCTCTGCATGGAGGCCAGATCCTCGCGCCGAGCCAGTCGCCGAGCCAGTCGCCGCACCTCGCTCCGCGTCGCCGCGCCCGTCGTTGACCTCGCTCCCGTCGCCGCGCCAGTCGCCGAGCCAGTCGCCGCGCCCCGCGCCCGTCGCCGCGCCCCGCTCCCGTCGCTGCGCCCTGCCCCCGTCGCCGCGCCCCGCCCCCGTCGCCAACACCAGCAGAATCGAGAGAGAGAATCGAGGGAGGAGGCGAGAATAGGGAGAGAGAGAGAGAGTCTGGGAAGAAGAATCGAGGGAGTTGGTTGTTCGATTTTCCTTCTAGAGGAAGAAGAGAATAGAGAGAGAGTAGGGAGAGAGATGGTCTGGAAAGAGAATCGAGAAAACGTAGGGGAAAGAAGAATCGAGAAACAGAGGGTTAGGTTAGGAGTGTGTGGTGCAGATTTATTGTTAATTTTTTTTTTTTTTTTTTTAAAGGTAGTATCCGGTTGGCCGGCTAACCGAGCCAAAACCGGAAACCGGTCGGTCGGTTTGCGGCTAACCGAGGCTCACGGACGGTCGGTTGTCGGTAGCTCTGGTCGAGTCTCGGTTTGACCGATAACCGACAATTCGGTTTTCGGTTAAACCGAAACCGACCGAGTGACAGCCCTAGTGTCAATCAGTGTACACAACTGCTACTTGTAATTGTTCACAAATCATTAAAAAATATTCATACTAGTATGCATATGATTATCTTCTTCTATAATCTTCGATGCGCGAACCATTGTTTTTCCTTTGGCAAAAGTATAAAATTATGTTTAGTGGATATAGAATTGAGGTGGAGAGGAATTGTAGAAGTCAATATATATAGTTTCCAGCCAACGATACAAATTGGACTTTGCAATTATCCTTGATAACCATAATAAAAAAGATAAGACTTTGCTATGGTGACTTGCAAGTCACCATGATTTAAACAAAACGGTCGACCTCTTTACTGATATGGTCGATCTATTTGGACAAAAATGGTCGACCTCATTGTTGAAAATTGAAATGGTCGACCAAATGTACCATTTTCCATTTTGCTATGTTCAACAAATGATCGGCCTCTGGTTAAATGTGGAGACACAATTATTTCTCCTCTCTGGTTAAATGTGGTTGTGAATGAAGGAGGGACGAGAT